CTCTACTCGATTTCGTTTTCGTTTGATCCAAATATTCAAATTCAAAATGTTAGCAGTATGGAACTCATGACTCGTAGGGCTTCGCTTCCAAAGCTTTCACTACAAAGATGAGGAATAGATATCAAATAAGGTAAATGCTAGGGGACAAAGATTTCATTTAGGAATGATTTGTCCTCTTTAGAGAACAAAAATAGAAGCAATACAAATTGGCTCCAAGAATTATGAAGGGGCAAAAATTGTTTTAAGCGTAAAAAGTCAAAAAGGATAACAGCTTCTTGGTTGCTGTGTAAGCAGGAGGCTAGAACAGAAATCCCCACCACCATCATTTAGTATTTTGTACTTTCTAGTTATTAGGATTCTTTTTCCCCTTTTTAAGTAAGGTAATTATATTAGTAGGAATCATTTTTCCACTTCCTGATTTCCCACTTCCCTTCAGAAAAACCCGACTACAGAAAGAACATGACAGTTCCAATAATGTGTCACATGAGTTTATTGGTTTTGGAAACACCAATCATGATCCTGAGTTAGATATCCAAATTAAAACAATTCCAACAGAAAATATATAGTGAGTGGAGATATACAACTGATAGATCAATTAAATTAATCTTTTGATTGCTTAATGATCCATGCGATGAATGCCTTGAATGCACTATTTTGTTGAAAATATGTTTAACAAAAGTAAAACACAATTGACACATGCATAGGGATAGGGGTACATTAGCTGACACTTACTTTGGAGTATCATTAAAAGGATTACTGCCGTCCTATATAACATATGATGGAATTTGAATACGATGACTAAATTATTTAGTTTTCGATGAAACATGAAATATCGATTCTTCAATTTTTTGAGATATAGATTTATATGTTTTAAAAAACCGTAATAAATCACATATTTTACGATATATATTTGAAGAAAAAGTCACAGCTAAAGAACATTTTGTTCCTCCAGTAGTATTAATATATATAGCTAGCTTCATATCATAATTCATAAGAGACAAAGGTTTTATATATATAGCTAGCTTCATATAATAATGTCCCCTAGATAGCCAGGAGGTGAGATAATGGATAAATAGAGAGGAGATGGATGATTTTACTCTTTTTATGCGGATCTGTTTCTAAACGTTAATCAATAAAATGAAAATGAACCTTTTCCACTAATCAAATTTTCTTTTTCTCACAAATTTGCTCTGGACCAACTTTAAAAGAGAAATTTCATAGAGAAGGAAACCGGCTAAAAATACGTTGCAAAATCGTATGTAATAATCAAGTAGTATAAGATGGAAGTAACAAAAACATAGAGGATATAAGACAGGTTGTATTAAATTTGTTTCTTTATGTGAGATTCAAACTGTTGAATTTACTTGGTCTATTTGACAAACATTTGCACTAACTGACAAATTTTGGATGAATTCTGAGCTATCTCCAAGCGGTCGATGCGTGTTATATTATCCATCATACATTTTTTTCTCTCACAAATATATGGCGGTTTCACAAAAACATAGAGGATACAAATATATGAAGTACCGCAAAGTATTTTCATTTTACGAGAAATGGAGAAATGCCATAGTTGGTCATATCAATTTTTTGGTTCTATTCTATAATTTTATTTCGAATAGACTGTTTGAAAAAAAGAGAGGAATTTTTACCTAGTTATACTATAATAGAAACCTATTTACTTATGTTTTATAGTTTTTAACAAGTGTCTAGATTTTTCTTACAAATTGTATACATTACTTCTTAAAAGGATTACACCCCATTATTAATATCTTTAATTAAGGGATTCAATTAAATCATTTCCTTTTTTTTTTCTCTCCTCTTCTCTCTCCTTTTTTTTTTCCCTTTTACATCAAATCACTTAATCTACGCCCAGAATCTCCATCTTCTCTCTTTCCACCATTTCCGACAGGTTTATATTATTAAAAAATTATATGATAATTGTATGATAGTTGTATTCATAATTTTATTTGAATTGTATCAAATACATCAATGCCTAAAATATAAATATATCATACTTGTATCACAATTGTATCTAACTTGTATCTGGTACATTAATACCCAAAATAATACATGATACAATATAAATAAATTAATATACAATTATCATATTTGTGATACAAATTGTGAAATTCGTCACAAACTCACAAATGCTCGTAACAATATACAATGAATATACGATTATCATACATTTGTAATACAATTCCTGCAACAATTATGATACATATACAATTATAATACAATCGCGATACATTTCTGAAAATTTGTGATACAATTATGATCTTCATCTTCTTCAAGTTTCAATCACAACTCTACACTAAAAATTTAATATAATCATATTATAATTGTATTAGTATTGTATCGAATATTGTTTTGGGTATTGATATATCATATGCAAGTTAAATACAATAAAGATTTTAGAAAGAAAGAAAACAAGATTTAAAATTTACCCACAACTTGATTCTAGAGCAATATTCCGAATTTCGTTTGCATTGTATCAATAAGAAATAGAGATTTTGGGTCATTAGTAAGAAAGAGAGAAATTGAATTTAAAACGCTTTGGAAGAGGAAAAGAAACTGCAATTTGTGGGGGGGGNTAACAGTGGGTAAGCGAGATTTTGGATAACAATGGGCAAGTGAAATTTGTTACTGTGGATAAGAACAATTTTGGGTAATTGTTAAGAAAGAGAGAAGATGTTTTGTAATCCTTTGGAAAAGGAAAGTTTCTTAAATGTAGGGGGATTATTGCAAATGGGGGTTGGGTGTCTGTATAGGGTAAAATATATTATATTAAATGATCGCACGAGGAAGTGACACGTGGAGGCGAAGACAGAAGATAGCTGAAACCGAAGTCAACGAACCTGTATTTTACCGGAGAGAATGATACTCATAAAGATGAAATAAATGCCTGTCACCCGGTAGTATTTAATGAAGAATATTCTACAATATTAAGTACACTGCCCGTTACAAGAAATATGGCATTCGCTGCCCGCCGTTACACATTCTTCAATGGCCCTCATAATTGACATTAAAGAAGGGCTTGATCCTAGAACCTTGTTTCCTCGGTTAGGTGCAGCTATAAATAGTGAGCTCTATTATCATTGTAAGGTACACGAATTTTCTGAAAAACATACGCTACACTCTATTCAAAACTTAATATAATTTCATCTTCTTATTTTTTTATATCATTGTTGTCATGCCCGGAAGCCCTGCTCCCGGAACTACTATTTCTATTATTTCATCTCCATCTCAAGGCTAAGTATTATATTTTTATCTAATTCATCTATTATTTCAGAATTAAATTAATCCACTTGTCTAGAAACCACATATAAATTCAACTGTACCATTTTACGGGCAAACAGTTTGGCGCCCACCGTGGGGCCTAGACAATTTTATAATTAAGTTGGTCCTTGCCTCTTTTACTAACATGTTCGATCATTCGTTCTTAGCAAAAAAATTATAAAAATGACAGATAATGGTGTTAACAACACACACAACCTTGAGGCCCAAGAAAACAACCTCAACACGAGGATTCATTGAGTGATACCCGCAGTGAGGTGAACGAGGTCACATCGGTCCATGACAGGCGGTACCTGCGACATGTTCGGGAGGCGACTCCTCATGACGCTGAAGAGGAGCACATCGTTGAAGCGGTAAGGGTGGTGCATGAGCAACAAGGGGGAATTCTAGGCCATCCACACAGAAGGATAAGGTTGTGACAAAGCTAAAGCAGGCGTTATCGGGTGCTTCCAATAACGCGAATGGGTGAGGTCAAGCTCCTCCCAGTGCTTCCGCAAACCAAATAACACAGAGGGTCAACAACAACACCCCGAGGGATGAGGTCGACTTTGATGGGGCCGGGGAGAGCGGATCCGGTCACAACAACGAGAGCGATCCCTTCAAAAATGAACTCATACGATTTATGAGGGAAATGAACACCTGCATGGACCAAATCCCGGGTGCACCACCGGTGCTGAAAGGACCGAACTCAAATAAGTACAATCAATTGCCGTACAAACCAAGCGTGGCACCAGAATTAATCTCGAAGCGATTTAAAATGCCCGACGTGCCGAAATATAGTGAGACTTCAGACCCTCAAAAAAGAATACGGAGAGACTCTCACGAGGGGAGCCTTGACGTGGTATTCACTGTTGCCCGAGCATTCCATAGGCTCATTCGAGATGCTCATGGATTCCTTTATTAAGGCCAATACCGGGGCCAGAAAGGTACATGCCCATAAGGCCGACATATTTAGAATTGCACAAGGAGAGTCAGAGTTTCTGCAAGAATTTGTAACCCGATTCCAGAAGGAAAGAATATTACTCCCGGCCATTCCAGATAAATGGGCGGCTGAATCATTCACCAAGAGTTTGAATTCGAGAAGTTCTGATGCTTCACGAAAGTTGAAAGAAAGCTTGCTCGAGTTCCAAGCAACGACTTGGGAGGATGTTCACAACCGGTACGAGTCAAAGAGAAGGATTGGGTATGATCAACTCATCTTCCCGGCGTCGGTTAAAGGTCAGCAAAAGAATAAAGAGAAATCAAAAGACGGTTTTGACACAGATAGACGGTCTTCTAGGAGCCGATTTTTGCCCTATGAACGGTCCGAAGGACGCGGCAGAGGCTTCTGGTCGGCAGATAGGTTTGTTACCGATAGAAAAACCGATCGCAGTCGGAACAACATGTCACTACAGGACAAGCAAACGTTAGGTTCTCGAGATCCTTCCTACCCTAGACTTTCAGAATACAACTTGAACGTCAATGTAGTAGAGTTGGTATCGACTATGAGGAACATTAAAGAAGCACAGTTCCCGAAGCCGATGAGTTTCGATCCCATCTAGAGAGATCCTAATTTGTGATGCTAATACAATGGGACGAACAGTCACAGGACTGGGGACTTCTGACATCTGCGCGAAGAGGTGGTGACGCTGCTGAAAAATGGCCATCTCAGGAAATTCTTAGGTGACCAGGCCAAAAACAATTACGGTCGCAATCGTGACAACATGGAGCTCTCAAAAGCAGGAGAAGATACCATACGCGTGACGATCAACATAATTTTCGGGGGGAACGATATTAACGAGGTTACCTTCTCGGCAACAAAAAAGATGAAGGTATCCATAACCCACAGCAAGAGACTCCGGAAAGTCGCTGAAGGCGACATCACTTTCACGGCGGAAGATGCAGATGGATTGTTGCTACCACACAATGACGCATTGGTAAGATCTTTAAATGTATTAGATTTTAAAATCAAACATGTCCTGGTAGATCGAGGGAGTTCGGCCAATATTATACAATTGAGGGAATTGGAGCAAGCCAAACTTACCGGAAGCATCATTCTGGCCACAAAACTCCTCGCCGGGTTCAACCTAGCAAGCGTGACAACTCAAGGAGAGATCCTGCTGCCCACGAACACCAAGGGGGTGAGGAAGACGACCCCTTTTGAGGTGGTGGATGGTGATATGGACTACAACATTATCCTATGAAGACTATGGTGTCATGAGATGAAGGTTGTACTATCGACGTATCACCAGTAGCTGAAAATCCCAACTCCCGAGGGGATTAAACAGATAAAAGGCGATCAACCGGCGGCAAGAGAGATGAATGCAATTTCGGTCTCCAGTAGCAAAGGGAAGGGGCATGCGGCATAGCAATTGTAGGAACCGGCGCCTGCTCTCGAGTCAAGTGAAGTTAACCATGGGGAAGAGACGTCGGAATCTTATCACGTGACAAGATAGTTTCAGGTACTAGAAGAGATGAAGCAACAAAGTCTACAACGGAAGAGCTTGAGCAAGTCGCATTGTTCGAAAAGTTCTTGGAGATAAAATTCCACTTGGGGATAGGACTACATCTCGATCTCAAGTCTGAGTTTATTGAATTTCTTAAATTTAACGTCGATTATTTTGCGTGGTCGCTTGCGGATATGATAGGTTATCCCAACGGAAGTGGCTGTACACAAGCTACGCCTGGATCCCAACATTCCTCCGGTAAGACAGAAAAAACATCCTATTGTCGAGGCCAGAAATAAATTTGTCAAAATAGAGGTAACTCGCCTACTTGATATCAGTTCAGTTCGAGAGGTAAAATATCTGGACTAGCTAGCTAACGTAGTAGTAGTTCCTAAGAAGAAGAAGAAATTTCGCATGTGCGTAGACTATAAATACTTGAACAAGGCATGCCCAAAGGACTCGTTCCCATTGCCAAATATCGATCAAATGATTGATGCAATGACCGGGCATAAGTTAATGAGTTTCCTCGATGCTTACTCCGGGTACAACCAAATTAAGATGAACCTGGAGGATCAGGAAAAAACTTCTTTCATAATGAATTTCGGCACATATTGCTATAATGTGATGCCCTTCGGGCTAAAGAATGCCAGAGCACTTATCAACGGCTCGTAAACAAGATGTTTGAAAAACATATAGGGAAAACCATGGTAGTCTATATAGACGATATGTTTGTTAAGTCTTTGAACGCAAGTGATCATCTTAAACACTTGCAAGAAACTTTTGACATCCTAAGGAAGTATAACATGAAGCTTAACCCCGAGAGGTGTGCGTTCGGGGTCAGCTCTGACATGTTCCTGGGATTTCTGGTGTCACAAAGGGGGATTGAGTTTAACCCTAATAAAATCAAAGCCATCGAAGACATTCCGGACCAACTATCAAGCGTAAAAGAGGTTCAAAGGTTCATAGGGAGATTGGCCGCTTTGAGCAGGTTCATTTCCCGGTCTTCAGAGAAATGCCACTATTTCTTCGCGCTGCTCAAAAAGAAGAACAACTTCGAATGGACCCCAGAATGCCAGCAGGTTTTGAGGGATTTGAAAAGGTACTTGTGAAGGCAAAAAATTGTTAATCTACCTCGCAGTCTCGGAGGTAGCGGTAAACGTTGTTTTAGTCCGTGAGGACAAAAGTACGCAATCTCCTATTTATTACGTTAGTAGAATTTTAACGGGAGCAGAAAATCACTACCCGTATTTAGAGAAACTGGCCTTGGCCCTCATAGTCGCCGCTCGGAAGCTAAGGCCTTATTTCCAATGTCACCCGATAACTGTGGTGACCACCTTTCCCCTACGGAATATCGTTCATAAACCCGAACTTTCGGGTAGGTTGGCCAAATAGGTCGTCAAAATGAGTGAATTTGACATAGAATATAAATATATGACTATGATTAAGTCACAAATTTTGGCTGACTTTGTGGCCGATTTTAGTGCGGGATTGTTACATCTGGCAACCAAAGAAGTAGTAATGGTGTCATAATCGACATAAGGAGTTTGGACCCTATTTACGGACGAAGCTTCCTACGTAAAAGGGTTTGGGCTTGGCATAGTATTAACCACGCCTTCGGGAGAAACCCTAATGTAGGCCATAAGAACGGTTTCTCTAACTAACAATGAAGTGGAGTACGAAGCTTTGATTGCAGGACTCGAATTGGCCCAGGGACTAAATTCCGAGGTCATAGAAATCAAATATGACTCCCAGCTGGTGCTAAATCAGGTCTACAGGATATTCGAAGCCAAAGAGGAACACATGCAAAAACACATAGAAAAGGTTCAAGCTCTGCTTCTCGATTCCGGGAGTGGTCAATTACACATATCACGAGGGAAGAAAACTCAGAAGCGGGCGCATTAGCTAACCTTGGCTTATTAACAAAAATGAAGAGATCGGACTCTGGTACGGTCGTACGGATTATACACTCGGTTCTAGACATAGATAGTTACTACGAGTAAATATGACTAATTTGGTTTGGGACTGGAGGAATGAGATCATTGATTATCTCGAGCACGGAAAGTTGCCTGAAGACCCTAAGGCATCCCAGGTGGTGCGCGCTAAAGCAACATGATATAGCTTCAAATGAGGCCGATTGTACAAGAAATCTTTCCAAGGTCCGCTGGCCCGATGCTTGGGAGCTTCTGAAGCCAATTATGTTATGCAAGAAGCCCACGAAGGGATCTGTGGAAATCATTCGGGTGCAGATTCCTTAGTACTAAAGTTGGTAAGGTCAGGATTCTACTGGCCCCGAATGGAACAAGACGCCAAAGCTTTTATTCATAAAATACGATAAGTGTCAACGCTACGCATCATTGGTACATTAACCAGTAGAACCATTGCACTCAGTTTTGTCACCATGGCCATTCATAAAGTGGGGAATAATATCGCTGGACCACTGCCGCCGGCCCCTAGTAAGGTAAGGTTTCTTTTGATTTTAACTGACTATTTAAGCAGGTCCTTATTAGAATATCGGTGAACGTGAAGTGGTGAATTTATTGTGGGAGAACATAATTTGCAGATTCGGGATACCAAAAAAGATAGCCTATGACAACGAGCCACCGTTTATAGACGCGAAGGTCACGAAGTTCCTTGAAAACTTGAAAATCAAAAAGATCACATTTTCGCCCTATTATTCGAGCGCAAATGGCCCGAGGAACTGCCTAGGGTACTATAGGCATACCGAACAACGGCCAAATCGAGCACAGGAGAGTCTCTTTTCTCCCTTATGTACGGAGCAGAATCCCTGATCCTGGTGGAAGTAGGGGAGCCTACCTAAAGATACTTCCAGGTAAATGAAGAAGCAAACAATGAAGCAATGTTGGTCAATTTGGAGTTGCTCGATGAGCGCAGGGACTTGGCGCATATAAGGATAGCATCTCAAAAGCAGAGAATAGAAAGATATTACAATCGAAGAGCCAACCACCATTATTTAAAAGTGGTAGACTTGGTTTACAAGAAAGTAACTCAAAACACCCGGGAACTCAATATAGGGAAGCTACGTCCAACATGGGAAAGCCCCTACCAGGTTTCAGTTGCCGTCGGGAAAGGTTCATACGAGTTGGAGAATCAAGATGGAGAAAAGTTGCCAAGCACTTGGAATGTGGCACATCTCAGGAGATACTATTGCTGATGAACATCACATGTACTGAAAGTATGTGCTGCACTCTTTTTCCCTTCGTCCAGTTTTTGTCCCAATTGGGTTTTTCTGGCAAGGTTTTTAACGAGGCAACAACGGAAAACATACTACGAAAAAGGCTTCAACAACAGCAATAAGACCTCTTAATAACAAGGCACACAAGTGAAGAACCACTTCGGAGTGGTTAGATAATCTTTTGCTCGTTAGCAAAGTTTTCATCGGGAAGTTATGTTTACTATCGAACAAAGGTTACCCGAGCGTTCACAAGTGCAAGCCACTAGGGGTTTGTTAGATAGTCTTTTGCTCGATAGCATAAATTCCTAAGGGGAAGTGAAGTTTTTTACCGAACTGAATATTATCTAGCAATTCATCAGTGGAATCCTCGAAGGTGTAAAACTTCCAGTATTCCAATTCACATTCTTCGCATTCAAACACTGGACAGGGGGAAAGAATAGTCATATCATCTAGACCGCGGACTGCGCGACCAACCCCGTAGAAATATATTGTGCAAGTTAGCCACAAGAAATGGCAATTTCTATTTAGCATAACGAATGCTTATGTACATTTTGAAAATGAAAGGAATAAAGTAAAGTCCTTTTATTTCTATCTTGTTTCTTGTCTGAACGATGAATTGATTTTGTCATTTGAAAATTAAACAAGTACTTCAAATGCTAGTGCTGTAATGAATAAGATACGTGCTATTCAAGAGCACCGTAAACATAAGAGGGCCATCTCTTATGAAAACTCTCACGATAAAGGGTTGATTCCGGAAGAACTTGTGCCCGAAATCAAAATGCTTTTGGGAGAAAATACACCCAAAGCCTTGCATAATCAGACACAAACAATAAAACTTGTGCAAAACGCTTAAACGAGAAAGGACGCAAAGATTAAACTTGTATAAAAGTTAAAACAAAAGAACACAGAAAGACTCATGCAATACTTGAGCAAAAGATGTTTTTATTTACAATGAATGTGCCAAAATGGCACAAGTACAAAAGTCGGGAAAAGAAATGAAAAGCTAAGTTGTTGCATCTCCGTAAACTAGAGGAAAAGAAGCATCCGCGCCCCCAGGAGAAGTGGGTAGATCCAGCGTCGGCTCGATATCTTGACCTTCATCATTTTGAACTTCAACATCTTCACCTTTCGGTTCCTCTTCAGTTCCCGAGAATTCGAAACCAGAACTAGAAGAACCAGAAGCATCAGGCCTAGTTGGAAGACCCCTTTTAGCAGTTAACTCCAGCTCACGAGCTTTAGCGATTTCGACATCAAAGTCAATGACACCCATTTTAGCCTCTTTCAAGGTTATTCTCCTCATGTTATACATAACATATGTTTTTTCAGTAACGAGGGAAGCTGCTCGGCGCTTGAGTTTCTCTTTAAGTTAGTCAACCACGGCAGAAAGATTTTCCCATGCGGATCTAACGAACCGAAGGCTAACATCGAGATCACAGACAGTAGAGTTGAAAAGTCTATTATGCTCAATGGTCCTCTTATACTTCTCCTCCAATTGGGCATATTTCACCCCGACAGCAACAAGCTTTTCAGTTTTAGAGTTCAAGGCCTCCTCTAAAGATTTTAA